AAGTGAATAAACCTCATGGTAATTTCGAAAACCTACTTATATAACGAGAAATGATTGCAAGGCTTATTGTATTCTGCCTCTTAACGAGATTTTTCTATCCAAGCCAGTCGGCAAGACTCACTTTCGAATCCCATCTGGGAAGCGGATAAAACCTAGCCTCATGATAATGACGAAATTTGCCCTATGCTTGGGTGCGCTGCTGAAAGGTATATTCTAAATTGGATGGATGTCTTTGCTCTTCAACTCTGTATATTTTCTCTGTCGCACATGTTAAACAAATTGTTCTTAAATTGACTTTTTCACTATGTAATGTAGGCCCATACTGTCTGGGGAAAACATTAAATTATAAAAATATACATTTAAAAATGTCAATAAATAGACAAGGTCTATCAAATAATGAATAGTTAAATGAGAACATTTCAGCCAAATCAAATCTCCCTCTGAAAATCTTTAAGAAGGCCCAAAATAAACGATGAAAACGAAAATATTCTAAGAGCGAATGTCAACTTTTCCACTGTCTCTCGAGGCGAAGTGTGCGCGGCTGTGCCATGTCGTTCAAGTGTGCTCGCAGCGTTCATGTCGAGGCTGTCGACTCCAACTGCCGCATTAAATGCAGTACAATCTCGTCGTTCCACGGCAGAGCGGCGATCTGTACGGCCAGCGGAAGTCCCTGAGATCCGATCTGTTGCCTCAACAGTCTGGCCTCAGTGCCGGCCGGAGTGAGGCCGACTCGGTCCTCGGCCTCTTGCTCGTCGGCCCTGGTCACTGCGCCGAATGGTACCACACCGGCCGGCCCGCCCGTCAGGCTGAAGAGGGCGCAATGGGCCAGCAGACTGAGGATGTCCTCGTGACCGAGCGAGTTGAGTCTGGGCGCCGGACACAGCGTGACCGGACAGAGGCAGGCGTCCAACTCGAGGTCTGTCCAGGCGGTGAAGAAGACGTCTCGAAATGTGGCCAGTCGGTTTTCCACCAAAATCTGCGCCTCCTCACGTCGCCAACAGCGCAACATCCGCGACAACAGCGGTCGACTGGCGCTCAGGTAACCGGAGACGAGACAGACCAGCGGTGAGGCGATACAGTTGGGCAGCATGTAGAAGCCATGAATGATTCGTTGCGCCCGATCCATCACGTCAAAGTTCCACGAGGCGTAGATGTTGCGGAAGATCTGCGGCCAGAGGTTGGCATGCGCCAGACTGAAGGCCATCTCGACGATGCTGTATGCTTGGGGCACGCGGAACTCGACCAACTCATGACCTTGCAGCTCGAGGCAGCGCTTCGCCTTCATCAGAGCCCTCTCGACGGCCGGCACCGGCCGTGGAAGGTCGTCCAACTGGACGAAGTAGCCGATTCGGAGGCTGCGCCGCGCGAACGGTCGCGTGAAGGTCTGTCTGTTGAAGGGCATCCGCGGAAGGCTGGGGTCCAGATCGAACATGCGAGCATGGCACAGCGTCTCCATCATGTCGGCCAGATCGTCGACGCAATGGCCGATCGGTCCGACGACGTGGGGCAGTCGGTCCGACGAGCCGAGGCTGGTGTTGAGGCCGCAGGAGCTGAGCCGGTGCTGGGTCGGTTTGAGGCCGGAGACGCCGCAGAAAGCGGCCGGAAAGCGCAGGCTGCCGAGAAAGTCGACGGCCAGGCCGAGCGGAGAGCCGCGGCGAGCCAAAATGGCCGCTTCGCCGCCGGAACTGGCGCCGACCATCCGATCGGGATGCGTGGGGTGCAGCGGTCGCCCGAAGATGGGATTCCACGAGTCCTGTCGCCAAATGCTCTGGCCCATGTTGGTCAACACGAAGGGGACGGCACCCGCGGAGCGCAGCGCCTTCACGACGACACAGTCCTCGAAAGCTGGCTTGTTCGTCTGAAAGAAAAGAGGACAATCAGACCTGAACACTCACCGGTAGATTAATTTTCCCATTCTGAAATGAGTTGACATGACGTTTGAAACCGAAAGGTGCTCTCATCAAGGCTGAAGTGAAATGCAGTTTCCACATTGCTTACGTCTTATCAACACCCCCAGGGGGACTCGAACCATGCACATCAACGTGTAGTATGGACATGCTACCACCTCCGCCACATTGCCACGATTGCGCCGGGATTAAAGAGTGGATGTGGGTTTCAAGGGGTTGGATGAATACATCTCATATACATGATCTATTGGTGGTCTCGGAAACACGTTGATAAACTAAAACGAAGATGGCGTGACCTTTGTGTGGTCGCAGTCTCCTTTCCTTGCATAGAAGTTGTCTGACCTTGTTTACGCAACTTGGTCATATTGGTACATTCCCAGAAGTTTCGCCGGCGTCGTCAGTGAGTCTCGCCATTCGTAACACCATATTACAACTCGTCAAAGAGTCAAGTGACTTTCACGCATTTATTCTCATACAGAGTCTTTTCAACACCTTAAGCGGGACTCAAACCCTGACCCTACTGCGTAGAATTTGGTTATATTTCTCATTACGCCCCCATGGTAGGTATGAATTTTAAGAAAGCCAAGTCATTTTTTCATATCACATTCTTGGGCGGGATTGTCGATGATGCAAAGTTATAGTTGCCATAGCAATCGACAATATTACTTATAGAGGTTGTTTGGCGTTGTATTTGCAACATGTTCATATTGATAGGAAGACTTAGAAGAACACACCTAGTCCAAAGTTGAACCGTAGACGTGGTACATTCCCAAAAATGTCGCCGACATCGTAGTCGGCATCGTCAGTGGATATCGCGGTCCACTGTTCAACTTTGGAAATGAGTATGCAGACAATGGACTCCGGACTAGGTGCGTTCTTCTAACTCTTCCTACCAATATGACCATGTTGCAAATACAACGCCAAACAACCTCAATAAGTAATATTTTCGATTGCTATAGCAACTATCACTTTGCATCATCGACAATCCCACCCGAGAATGTGACATGCAAAAATGGCTTGCCTTTCTTGAAATTCACACCTACAATGTGGAAAACATAACTAAATTATACGCAGTAGCGTCAGGGTTCGAGTCCCGCTTGGGGTGTTGAGAAGACCTGTGCTAGGTCGAAACTGCAGTCCACCCTGTATGACAATAAACGTGTGAAAGTCAATGAAAATACCAGTCCTAAATGAAATTCGACTGATACATCTCACATATATGATCTACTGGTAGTCTCAAAATCCTGCTTGTAAATGAAAAATCAGAACTAACCATTTTCGCCCAACCTGACTAATTTGATTAGCAGCCCGTGGTCGCATAAAACGATTTAATGACCAATAATTGAATTTAGCCAAAATTCAATTAGCATAAATCGTGATGCTATTCAATTTTAATGAAATTAGCCTTACAAAATACACTCCCACTTAGACCAGATCGACGTGCCGACTCCATATATGTTTCATCGTCAGCACTAATGAAATTGTAAATAGCACATGGGCATCTTCGCGACACGATACCACTCACTTACATCACTGGGCAAATGTGTCGCTAAAGGCGACCTAGATTCATCCTAAATTAGATTTAATGTTATGATTGATGTTTGCACACCTTTTGAGTTCGTTTTAAAACGAGAGTGTAAGAAAATACTTAGTTGGCCTCGTCTGATACCGAGACAGAGATCGTCAAAGCCAGAAACTGACCCGTAATCCCACAAAACAGGTCATATAAGATTCTGCTTACCTCTTATAGATCAAATGGTAACCGTAATAAGACATTCCATAATTTTTCGTTTAGAAATACAGTTTAAGGCTCTATTCATAGCATTGTGGGAAAGTTCAACTACCAGTCCTTCATCGCCTTAAACTGAATAGGGTGAAAACATCTCACATGTATATATTTCGCTTATAAGTATGCTTTGAAACTACCGGTAAATTAGTTATATGAGATGTATTCACTCTTTTTCGTTCAAGTTCATAATGGACTGGGAGTAGAATTAACCCACAATGTATGATTAGAGCTGACTTTTCCATTGAATTTCACAGAGGCCTGCATAT